ATATATAGACTGATACAGGTTTTAACGTCAAATCGATAATTTTTATACTTTTTGTTATCCATTGATTATGCTCAGTATTAGTTTTCGCCATACACTATTTTTTCTGTGATCGTTTATAGTACAAAGAGCATAGACGAGCGAAAATAAAGACATTTTCGGTCGTCTCTGCATATGAAGTATGTAAACAGGCTTAAATATGACGTTGGCAGGTTGCGTTGCAGCAGTAGGCGTAACTATAACTTCATTGAGCGACGGATTCTAAGTTTTATGCGGAGCTGTTCGCCAGCTCGGTCGCTTGTTCACAAGGCTCGATAAAAAAGAAATTAATTTATACACCGGTGCTTGAAATTATTAAGATCAACAAAGACCTAACGGCAGTAAGCTCTAGTTGGCTCTGGCCTTCCAATCATTAGCTTATTCCTAATACAGTTATGATTATTCTGCTTTCCCGTGTTGCCGCTGTTACTTTTTCATCGGTCGTACTAGTTTGTTGGAAGGGCCAGGCCAGGTAACGTCGACCGAATGCAGAAAACTCTAGCTAGTTAGTTGGATCCTGGTTCTGCTTGTTGTTTCTGTTGGCATGTCTGTTGAGTAGCTGCGTATATCTTTAGCATAGATATGTTATAGAACTCATTTTGAATTGTGTAAACCTGCATGCACGAGTTTACATAGGTCGATGTTATTAGATGGCGCGAATTTTCTACTAGACCAACATTTAGGACGGCATACGAAACGATTCGGCCTAAGAAAATGGAACAGTTACGCTGAATTATACGAGGAGCTTGAATAACTGTAAACGAACATTGATTGCGTAAGATTCTGGTTCACTTAGGAAGAAACAAATATCTGGATAACCCCATTTGACGTAGCTGAGGTCTAACTCAGAGACGTCAGATGGGGTTCAAGGAAATGAAGAGACTACTATGAATCTTGCCGCTTACAAATGTACATATTTTTATTAGACCTTTTTCTATGTATAGGTCAAATGAATAATTACCATCGATATACGCTGCTAGGTGTCCTCAGTAAACCAGTTATTTCCTAATGGAGTTCGCTCCAAATTAAAAGCTCAGTGGTCTTAATGGTAAACGTCCGTGTCCAGGGAACAAGAAACGCAGTGCTACCACGTAGCAGCAGTAGTGATTTAATAGTAAATTTAAAGTATTAGTAACTTACTTCTTTACACAACGACCGGTAATGCTTACTAATTTTTCACCACAAACAGGGTAGCAACAATGAACCAGCCTCCGTATTTTCCATCCGTTATAAATTTGTGGCTAATGCATACAGGCGTACATGTAACGAGAGGTTAGTTAATGTTGATTGCGATGGCGGCCAAGTGTTCATGTTGACGTTACTACTGTCAATGTCAAACGCAACAAGGTAATAATGGCAAGCCCGATGGCAGCACCGTCGACAGCGTGATGGACGCTCGTGCTTCGGACTAGTAAGTGAGTAAACCTGTAAATGAGAAATGGTAAGGGGATGAACCCCATTTCACTGACATCACAAGTTCATTCTTTCAAATCGATTCGGACCTAAGGCACGTCAGCGAAGGGCTCGTCTATCGGTGTACTACATTTGGCCATATTTTTCCGGTACTTCCGAGAATGTTAGCTGAAGCGGCGTACATGCGTTTACGTGCTGCAGTGAACGAAAATTCTACGTGCGAGTTGCTAATAATATGAAATTAGTGAACAAAAAGAACAACCAACCAAGTGTGTACGTTCCGTCAAGCCGCGCGTACTTGAACATGTGTAGTTATAATATATGGCCTATTACCACAACGGTGAGAAATGAATGATACGTGTTCTCTAACTAGCCGTTATTATCGGATTTACCCGTGAGTCGACTATACATTGTATTGTGGAACATCGCGGACTGCAGGTTTTCGTTACTGTGACGTACATGTGGAAATTGTACGAACCGCCGACAAAGCCACTGTCAATAAACTGAATATCATCAGTCAGCTAAAAGTAGGAGGACATCACCTATAGTACGAAGACTTCGTATAGGTTGTGCTTTAAATCATAGTTCTTTGTTGAGTTAGCTGCTGCGACAATGAACTGAAATCCTGATTCAATTGCATAGATAGATAGATAGATAGATAGATAGATAGAATAGATAGAATAGATAGATAGAATAGATAGATAGATAGAATAGATAGATAGATAGAATAGATAGATAGATAGAATAGATAGATAGATAGAATAGACAGATAGATAGAATAGATAGATAGAATAGATAGACAGAATAGATAGAATAGAATGCGTTCCTCATATCCGTAAGAGTATACAAATACCATATATGCTCCCATGATGCAACCATAACAGGGTAACAAATGTATAACGTTACTCAACGAATGTTGTAAGAGTATCGTTTTTAAATCTATTCGACGTCAAGGTTCTAGTAAGGCGCGATCGGACTGAAGCTTAAGGCATATGCCTGCTATGTGTCGTAACAATTATGTGGCAAGTTAAGCTTCAAGCTTCTCACTGTTCTTCTTAAGCTATCTAGCCTGCATTAAGTGAAACGGATCAGACTGTTATTTATTGCGTAAGGCGCCAACTATTCGAAACGTGTAACAGATCCATTTCTTCTCAAGCTGCCAACTATACACAATTTTGTAAATAACAAAACTGTTTAACAAAGTAAATCGGATAGCAATAGCGTGTAACGATTGATTGTTCTGTAATGGCAAGTAAGGCGCTCAGAAGCACAATTATATCTGGGTTTACTCTTCGGCTAACACCTGACGCCTCGATCATTCGCTTCGAAGTATCGATGTTCTTCCACTTCATTGGTTTGATACTTAAAGGGGAATTGGTCCTTTGGCACCATGCTATAAGCTACAGAAAGAACGAGCGCGTGCACGTCCTATGATTTCGTTGCGAGCCTCAGTTGAAGTAGGCCAAACCGCGCATCTGTCTATTGAAAACGTTCAATTGTCGTGTCTCGCAGACAGGATCCTCTGTTCTGTACATGCCGTGTGTGGGCGCCAGCAACGTGCGTCAGCACGATTATAAGGGCACGGAGCATTTTCAGAGCCATTAAAACATTTCTAGCAAGTAGCGCATCGATGAGTCAAAAAGATTATTCGTTAGCTTTATAGTGCTAGCCAGTTTCCACGCTGCCCATTTAACCGGTACCGCACGCACCGCAGGAACAGTCGTCAGAGATAAACAGTTGCAATGTTTTGTTATTATTTCATAAGAAGCTTAACAACAGTTTGGCAAGGTGAATATGTCAAAATCATTGACACTGTCTATTTCCTGTGGGGTTGACCCTCAATGTGGATAGAAGATTCAAGCATCTGCTGCAGCATCTATTTTGTAATTTAAACATGGCACCGTTGCTTTCTTCGTGTTATTATTCCTTATATATGTAGAAGTCGAAATTGCATGCTTGAATAAGACATGTGATTTTCGCCAGTTTCTCAGTTTCATTATAAATATACCTTAGATAGATAACCTGGTAGAAATATATGATGATAGAGTTCAGTAAGGTCACCTAATTTTACTCGGCCTATTGTAATACCCCTCAAAAAGGTGGCTTTGTATATTTATATAGACTCCCGTCATGAAGGTGATCAGACATCAAGCTTTTGAAATAGACCGCTAAAGGCAGCATAAAGATTAATTGATTCATATTACTATTGTTTGCTACTACTGAGATAACATGATTTCTGGAACTGGTTACCCGTGGGATCTAGGATTTACTTATTTGCAACGACGACGGGGATGGAGTGGGGACACCCAGTAACATTATACAATAGTGTATGTGCGCAGAGTCGTGTGCAAGGTTTGCATAGAAAAAGTGCGATTGTCTGATGCTTTCCGTAGTTCAGGTCGGACCGTCTGTAGTTCTTATGATTTTCTTTTGTGAACTGAAATCGTCCTCCTGATTTAGCTTCGCTTATGTTAACGTAGCTTTCTTAAACACATTAAATACAGTCACTTAACATGATACGACATGAAATGCTGGCGCTAATCTTTGCTAGTAGACGTTTATGGTTGGTGGCTTCATAGAACATTTTATTTTTTCCGTGAATGTACGTATTTTTTAATATTTGTAACTTTTAGATTGGACTAAACAACTAAATTGGTATGCTTCAGCGGAAGTACTGGCACCTGGTAGACAACGATTTCGCAAGTTCTCTTTCGCAAGTTCGCAAACTCTTTTCGTACGGACGATAAAATGGATCAGGATTAAGTTGACTGGTGCTACATCTCGTTCTAACCCTATTCCGAAGACGCTTAACTCAAATTGAAGCCTATTTAGATCAGTCTCAAGATGAACGAATAACAATATCTTAACGTGTCTTTTTGATCGTTTAACAGGGTGGCGTGCCAATCGAGCTCGAATTCTCGGTTGAGCTCTGTCCTGAAGCTGAGCATAATCTGCCGCACGCTTTTTATCTTGTCTTCGAAGGTTCTCGAGCCAGACACGTTTGCCGCGCTCAACTCATTCACCAGTCCAATAATGGTCGTTTACTTCTGCTCACAACAGCGCCCCCACATGACCGCGTCGAGGAGACGAAATTACGAGCATTCTATCGGGGTCATTTGGGAACAAGGCCTGTGTTATTTCATACGACGCAATTTCAGTTTGTCTCGGATGCTGCTTATCAGGTTTGCATAGGTAGAGCATCAAGTTTTGCATCCCGACTCTAGCGTTGACCGAACCTAGCCAGTAAACATAACCTAACTAGTAAATGTATTTTAAGTTTTATAGTTAAAAACAAATATATATATTCATGTTAACTATCTATATATCAGAGGCACGTATAATTAGATTTCCTGTTATTATTAATTTCAGCTTAAAACGTAGTTTATAGCTGATCTGAGCACGGCGAGTGGCTGAAGCTGCCGCACGGATACTGTAATTGATTGCCGTCTGATTTGATCGATTACTAGGTAGCCTCCACGTTGATTCGCACGCAGCTGTCGAATACTTCGTCGCTGATTCTCGAAAGGGTAATTAAAGGTCGGCTAGAGCTGAGGACGCAGATGCACTGCCTGCGGCGAGTGGATCGCAGGCTGGCGGCCGCTTTTCGAGCGATACAGAAACCGGAAAGGTGGACTATTGCTCCATTGGCAACGACGAACAGGACAAGCAACAACAATAATAATAAAGGTCGGTCGAAATACTCGATTTTTAGGCAAAACTTGTGTAATTCTGTAACGATGTAGATTCAATATGTAGGTAGACTGATGTATTTGTTTGGGGGTCGTCAAACTGATTATGAGAACTTGTTAAAAAAAACAGGGCGACACATCAACGGACATTAGCCTATAGGGTCTTCTTTTGCTGGGCTTGTGCGCATGAGTCATTTTGGCCTCACAGTAAATTCTAAGTCCCGAGACGCTTCAGTGGAAGATGTGTAATTATGTAATGGAAAACACTCGTATTTCTTTCTTCTTTTCTTTTCATAGAATTTAGCGGCCAATGATTCGTAGACTATCAAAGGTTAAGAATTTTTTGCTGGTTTGTTGCCAGCCTGGACGATGCGGATCGTTCTTCTCGAATGGGAAAACATAGCCTGCTGGCATAGTAAAAAATGCTACGTTGATTGCTACCGGAGCCCAATACGAAATATGTGCCCGAAAATATCTCATCATAATCAAAGGAAGAGAAGAAGCTAGACCAGTTCACCTACTTAACCTTACATAATCATAGCAGTTTAACCTTTTCCGCCCATCCGCCACATTTCTGCATGTCTTCGATCAGGAAGCGACTGGTAGAAACGTATCGGTTCAATGGCCCGTCGTCGATAGGGTGCTTGACTCAGAACGCTTGGAAGTTACTAAATGTTCATGAATTGTTTTATTACAGGTTCAACGATGAAACAATAACGCATACTGCGTACTGTAATAATACTAATAACCGTTGGTAGTCGTTGTCATTTTGCCATGACACAGCAAAGCGTGTTACGTGGCATGCCATGCTATAGATGGTTGGCAACGAAGACAGACCACCTGCCTGTTGACCGCGATAAGTAACCATAACCGTTTGAAATAGAGCTTGTTTGTTTTTAAATAAACGAAACGATACCGCCGTTATGTTTATCTAACATCTTCATGATGACACAGCTGCGCCGATAGTCCCGATGACCGTAATCACTGTCAGTCGTTGAATATGCTACATCGACAGTTCTCACGCAATTCAATTAGAGCCCGTCAAATAAGATGGAGCAAGATGATGCCCGTCCGTTCTCGATGGTGGCATTATTAGATATATGAGTAGCATGAGCTGATTTTATGTGGCTCGACTGGTTCGGTTGTACACTATGCAGATAAATAGCATATGGAGCCGTACCATGTAAACAATCATTGCAGCTGCGTTAATCCGCCAGATATAAATAAGCGCATTAGTCATGTTTGCCTAGTTTTGTCCTAGTTGCTATGTATACCGTGCACAGCTTCCTAAACCAGACGAATAAAACTATTTGTCATCATTCCGGGTTACAGTGTGCCGCAACTGCGGTCATTTCAAGACAGATTTATCTACTTTCTACTATGCGTCTCGGGATCAACAGTGCCACTTTTCTTTGCTCCTGAAAAGGCCAGAGTTTTACAGGGACAAAACAAGTTTTGGCGGCGGCTGATGTCTTCCATTTTTATATCAACAGAGACCTACCTGCCGCGTCGATGATCTCCATTGTAACTTGTCTACAGCACTGTGAGATTAATCTACGATAGGCCGTAAAAGGCCATTTACGAAGTTCGATATAGCAAATTCAGTTATTTTGTAGAAGGCAATTTCTGCTCCTCTGCGCAGTCGGGAAACGAATGAATCCTCAATGCTATATGTTGCAGTCCACATAAAATTAACGCTACTCTGGACACGTATTCAGCTTCATTCTCTATTCAAGTATCCGAAGGCGATGTTGCGCCTCTACACCAAGGCCGGATGATTATACCTCGTTCCATCTGTATAACGACTTAACCTCTAGCCGTGTGATTTTTTGAAAAATTTGCTAGATTCGACTCCACTTTCTAAAATGGCGCTCATATAGAGTTTTTTTCTTTTTTTTTTAATCTCTTTGTACTGTTATAGCTAGTCGGTGCGTTTTTTCCTTTGATAAAGCTGTCATGTTCGTGCACTATCTGAACATTTTTTAGGAGTTTCGTAGTGAATAGATTAAATACGTTTTATTGCTGTGCCATCAGACAATCTATCCTGCACGCTCAACATCCATCTTCAGACTGAACGCTAAATTCATACATGCGCATAGATAGATTTCTTCGTGAGTATTGCGTCTCCACCGGTGGGTCTGATGGGGTCGTCACGCATCGTGTGATGTGCTGCCATCAAATATATACTGGTCGTTAGTTGCTGGTGGAAAAGTTGGTTCCAATTGAGTTCGTCAGTTTGTCCGATTACGATCAGACTCGCAACACCGGCATGGCGCCGGCAGTCGCCGGAAATCGCTTCATCTCTCTTGTCAGATTTCATTGGTCGTCTTGCTTTAAAGCGTCTGCCACTGCGGTCGCTGGCGTCAACGGCGACGAAAGCTTCGAACATCCTAACTAAATATAGCATCGGTTGGAGAATGTTTCTATTTACGTAGGCAAATGGTACTTTAACTACACGGATGACGGGTTAAAATGTTGAAGGCGTACCAGTCGATGCAAAGTAAAAAAACATCAGCTTTGTTCCATCGAATCGAGTGCTTTGATTCCATGAATGTTTCATGGACGCTTTAAACGGTACGATGAATTCCTTGTAGGAACCGACCTTTAACGGTCACTGTTTTTAACCATGCTTTCTTTCACCGGAGTAATAAATCTATTGGTAATGTACAGTAAAGCATACCTGATGAATAATCCATGTTTTTTAAATTCTGCATCAGACACCAATCATTAAACGTTAGATTAACTAGGAAATTTGGTGAGCACGCTTTTGGTCAATGAACAAAACCCTAGTCAAGGTGATTAAGCTCAGAAAACGCATAATACGTAAATCCAAGTACACTGATCTCTGAGAGTAACTGCCACTTGTTGTTCTTGATAATCAAGTATCTCTAATACATAATATATCGGATGTTGATTGGTTTCAGATGAAAGTGAGACGCTCCTTCATTTAGCGTCCCGGATGGGCCTTTCCGAGCTCTGTGAATATCTGCTTTGTTGTCCCGGATCGCTGGTCGCTCTAAAAACTCCCAACTCACAGGGTAGTCTCCCCCAGGATCTCGCCCGACAGAATGGCTACGACAAACTTTCCGAAAAGCTAGCCAAGTGAGTATTACAAGCACCCAATTATATTGCCAATATATGCCTTCTTGGGTCTATAGGAACTTCTATACTCTTGACGAATTAACACAGTTCTAACTAAGTCATTCTCTGAACAAATCGTCATTGTCAAAACTCGAAACAACGAACCAATAGTCACAACTGATTTCCTATAGTTTTTCTTCATATAGGCGTAATGATATTTATGAACGCCACTCAAAGCACAGTTACGAGCCACTGAAACACAATATCGTATCTTTCTTGGAAAAACGCGGCCCTTGTAAGTCCGTTCTAAAACACTTACAGATCGATGCCTTAACCCGAACCACAGGCTCTTTATTCATGTATCCCTATGAAAGTCCGAACCAAAACGAAATTTCATCGTCGAAGAAAAGCAGTTTCATATTGATCGGTATTCCACCTTAACCGATACATTTGCTTCTACTGGTTGCAGAAACGCCGTTGTTATTAACTAATCTTTTTGTGTTCATTTATCGCAGTTACCGTAGTTCCTCATGCGTCAAGTCGGAGAATCCCTTACTTTATGATTGCGTAATCTCTGAAGGACGCGACCATTGCTTGCCACCAACCATTACCACGAACCTCTTAAGCGATCATCAGCCTGATGAAGGTACGAACGTCATCTGTTAGCAAATTGTGCATTTTGAAATCTCCACGTAATTGGAATCATCAAGTAACCCTAGTTGCCATATTCGTCTGCTGCAAGGCTTTTTTGCTGAAGCACATGTGTTAAAATTATAGGAGCAATCAGTAACGGTCTTCGCGTCGAGCGTTGTTATTATTATGATTACAAGTAGGAATAGAGTTAAGGATATATCGTTATATTTCGTCTGAATTTTGTAGCACTGGCATGTAACCATGCTTTGTATGACATTACGGGAATAAAACGTTTTCAACTAATTCTAGGACTGGCGCTGTTCGCGGGCACAGCTCGAACCAGCGAATTTAAAGACGCTGCCTTGACCATATTTTTCTAAGAAAGACTTGTGGTCAGCAACGTGCTATGTATAGTGATCTCAGACTTTAGGTGGCAGCAAAAAAAGTCACTGAAGTTCAGATGACCAGACTTCCCATTTTGTCGTTACTCGTATATTCTTCGGAAATATACGAAATTGGTTAACTTAAATTGACTCGAAAACGTTTTTTTTTTAAATTCCACTACTATTAGGCAATTTCGATACTAATGACTATATTCCTTTGCTTGTCGATACGATAAACATGTCGTGTATACAAATTATCCGTTTGCCGTGATATGCAGTAAGATTCTGGGCTGCTGGTACCTCAACAAATGCCGTGTTGAACCGTTCCATACAGAAACTGCGCTATGAAGAGAGGCTGCTGCAGAAGAAGACAAAGGAAAGTCCAAAAACGGAATCAATTTATTCTTTAGCACCAATCTTTAATTCTGCCTTTGCTGCTGCTGCTACTGTTATATTGGCAGCCCCAATAGCAGCAAGGCCATTATCCAGTATCTAGTAGACGTCACCGAATGGTTATACAAAGATCTATAGTCTGCAGACTGACTCTGGGCAGTAAGACGAAGCCACCTTCGAATTGAACAACACATCGTACTATCGCATACAGTACGGCATACTTTGCAGTTTTCTAGCCGACAGATGAACGTCGACAGCGGCCGACTTTTCATCCGCCAGCCATTACTAGCGGCGTAGCTATAGCACAGCACTGCATGATTGCGTGTCGCATCGGTACGGGACGTTAGAGCGACGAGAAACCATTTCTGCGTGACTGTATGACAGTCGGTCAGTCAGTCAGTCAGTCAGTCAGTCGCAGTGGTTTTGAGAGCTTCGCTTCTGCGGTTAGTCTTGTGTGATACGATGACGCTTGTAGGGCAGTTAGCTAGTACACTTCCTGGAACTTCAACTACTACCGCTGCTATTGACGGCGCTTGACGAAGTGACCGAACCTCCCATCAGAAGGACACGACGTGACCGACCGCAGGATGAGGAAAAGCTTAGAGGGGTGCGTACACGCTCCCAGTATGAACCATAGTAAGAAAGGTCTGGCCACTCCCCTAGCAAGTAGCGGACAATTAATGACAGCCTTGAGGATATGCGCGATGGTCACGTGGTCGTTTGAAATTTTGACAAATCGCGATTTAAGTATACCGTACACTGCTAAAAAGAAAAGGAAAATAAAGTGTTGTTCAGGATGGACTCCTTACACTCAGCCAGGTAAATTACGTAGGCTAAGGTAGTTACCAAAGTATTCGACCCTTCCGTAGCTGAAATCGATGAAGCAAAAATGTACTAGAAAATACAAGGAAGATAACATCTTATAGACGAATTATAATACTAGACGCAATCATCATTGTCACAAGTCGAAACTTACTTAGAAAATGGCAATAGTCACACTCTAGTTTCAACTCTAAATATATCGCCCAATAATGGGAAAATGCTGGCATATACGTTGAGCTTCACAAATACCTAATTTATTTTGGCGGACTGTATTTCAACGATGGTCTCTATTTAACCATTCATATCATGTTTATGGTGCGACGAGTATTCGCTAGTTAGATTCACGACCAATTGTCAATACTTTATTGTGATCTTTTGTTTTGTTATGGCTTTCGCTGTCTTTTAATCTGCAACAATTTAGTAAGCGACATCGATCGACTAGAGGAGCTGATTGCGTCGGTCGAACGCGTGGTGTCGCCTATGCCGCTGATGAGCTACGGAGCGGCGGTCGGGGCCGCTAATGACTTCAACATTAATTACCCAACTTCCACGACAATAGGTAACTGCAAGATATTTTTTATCACCGCACTGGTGATAGGACCTGGATCAGGTTAAAGTTCAAATTCGGTCAAAGTATCATTTTTATGCCACCTTGCTTGCTTGCGGAACTTATCAAATTTTAACAAGTCAAATAAACCAATGTTGATGCGCTTTTCTTACATAGTCAGTAATATTATACCCCCATGCCCCCCGGATGTGAATTTTTTTCTTAACCTTTAGTACAGTTAATCGCCAAGCATATACATCGACCTGAATTTATGTATTTTATTTAGATATGCTTTCATGGAAACGTACCTGACGTACCTGTTTCATGCCGCGTTCTATTTGTGACACCTTCGTCACTGGTTGTCCCCTATAAATGTACGTTTCTACAAAATATGGTCGAACAAACGTGACTGAAGAGACATATCATCTAACAGTACGATATGCATAAGATTATCCTGAATTTTCTGCGTTATGTAGTAGTCACCTGAATAATACCATTCACCCTGCCGGCTACAGTTTCTATTTATACTATACTTATAAGGAATTTCTTGTCCAATTTTTCCAGAGCAATCCTCACAAACAGGTGTTAGTCAAGAAGCGCATCGGAAACAACAAAATTCTGTGAATGGCAACGCTGATGGTCAAATGTGTCAAGATGGCGACACAAGCGGCAGCCAGCAGATCACTCAAGCTCTAGGGCATATAGAAGATAATCACGCGGCACAGGACAGCAAAAAAGAGGTTTGTTCCTTAGTTCCCTCATCATCGTTTAAAATGAGGGCAGCGTGTATAACGAACAATTACATAACGTGGCCCTAGCCTTATTTATATTCGATGTAGCCCTGTCAGGAAAAGTCGTGTACTTGCTGATGCCCTGTCACACGCTTCTAACGGCGACATGGTGTCAATGCGAGACTGCATTGCGATAAGGGATAATCCTAACACTTGGTAGGGGTAATGTGCGTGTTTGGGATGACTCGCGACAAAGTTGGACAAGCTGTCATGTACCAGTTGGTCCTATCGAATTCATAGAAGCTTGCGTAAGAATAATGCAGGAAGGAGGACTAGCGATCAAAACTAATATATCATGGCTCGATAAGTCGACTGGGAACGCACAGCAAAACTCTTGAGTTTAGTAAGTTAATTATGTTTGTCTAAAGTTGTATTCTTTTTATTATTAAACTTTATTAGTTTCATGAAGTATGCTCTTAAAGCTTACCTTTAATTGGCTTTCGACGACAATATCTTGGCAGTTGCGGGCAGGAGTTACTAAAAAGGAAATCTGGTCTAGTACAATTTGACCCCACTTTTGATATTAGAAAAAGAACCACCAGAAGAGTTTAAAAAATCTTTAGTTATAACAGTTCTATGGCATATTACGGTAAAATTTATCCGTGAAACCTATGCGAAACCCTAATGCAATCTATTTGATCTGAAATTTGCCCATAAGCATCGTAAGGCACTTTTCAAAAATAGCGTCAAAGTTAAACATGCAAGAGTCTGTAATTAAAGCATAAATCTCTTTCTATCTAAACGAGATAATTTAAATCACCTATTTTATTTTGCCGCAGCGACCTCCCTACGTCCCTTTGTGGTTTTTTTTCACCGTTTTCTATTATTGATGGATGGATACGCTTTTGTTGTTGCAGGTTATTAATTACATAGCGTGGGGAAAACGTGATTTGCTTCGAAATAAAACCAAATGCTGTAATAATATACTTTGGGTAGAATATGGTGAGCTTAGAACGCTAGATGGCTACATAGGCTGTTGATGAAATGTATGGTTAGGTTTGAAGAATGCGCTTAAGACGTTCGCTAAGCGTATATGAGCTGGCCAAATTTAGCTGGTGTGGTTTCTTGCCACAACGTACACAGCTTGATATAGCGAGAGAGCTGCCAGAAAAACAAGGAGATACCGGCCCTCCGATGCTGGCCCGCCCCCACCGGAGTCTGGATTGGACAGGGGTACTTAGACTGTAGCAGCATTAGGCTGCTGGCTGATGGGTGTGAAACAGGTGGGGGATAGGCAGGGTAAGTAAATGTTCTGTGGCTATGAATAGGAGCAACTCAACTAGTGGCTCCATGGGTGGATGCGTATAGGCCCGCTGTAGATGTTTGCCTGCGCCGCCCCTTCTTCTCCTCCCTCTCGTCCTCGTCCTGATTTGGCCATTCGTCTAGGCAGCCACCTGCCTGCCAACCTAATTCCTTTATAACTTTGCCTGAAACAACTTGACACTTCGCGGGACTGGCTGGCTATCACATACCGACTGAACGACAGAAACGTCGGGATGCGCAGCGTCGACATTACTGGCGGCTTACAACGACGATTCGGTATGATTGGCAAAACTACGATTATACTTTTACTATTCCAGAATTGGACTTTTGCTAAATGAAGCTATGCTAGTTCTCTGCGCGGTGTAGAAGCAGGAGTTGTGGAGTCGGTTGGGAGATGTTCGCTGGGAGGATAGAGGGCGCCACAGTGGTCGCTGTTCCCACGAGCCGCGAGTTGTTCCCAGGCCCTAGCGTCGTTGTTGGCCCTTTCCTACAAGCGAACCGTCTCCTGCCTTCTACCTGTTGAACGAACGGGCCCCCAGATGTCGCCTGGCTTGAATGCGGCGCGAGCCCTGCCGCCCGCAGCTCGCCAAATATGTGCCAATGAGGAACGTGTGTTGCCGCTGCTGTTGTGTTAGTTGCGGTGACGCGCATCCGTTATGAGATGACTACAATTAGCGACAGTACGGCCATACAAGCTAATTATAGTTATTAATCATTATTATAGTGATAATACGTGATTATCTTACTACTGTCAAATTACGGAACGACAACGACAGTGCTTAAAAACGGAGGCCCGAGCGGTGTGTCCCGCACTTGGGACGGTGTGAAAACTAAGTGCCAATGGCAAAGGTTACTAGGAGTTAAGCTTTGACTCCTTGTAGTGAATGGTTGGTTCGGCTTCAGGTTGGTGTTATAGGCATCTACTATAGCCTGCTTTACTTCTTCTTCTTTTACTAGTACCGGTGATGGATGCTTGACCATGAAAAGTTGAAGTATCAAATTCAAGGCAGAAGAGCGAGTTTGAAAAGTTTAAAGTTACTTCAAGATGTTTGTACACAGCGGATAAATATAATTAGTGAGTAAACGAAGAGGGAAGATACAACCCACTCAAGAGAGGACAGACGAGTTAAAGAATATGGCAAAGAAGCAACAAGTGAGGCGAAAAGAAAGAAAATTTTCATTCAGTGTGATGCAATTCGAGTAAAGGATGAGCAAGCTCTCGGAAGCAGAAGACCGCCAATAGAGGTCGTTGTCCCTAGACAACGTGGGCGAAAATCATCACGAAAATAACAAAAGTGGCGGAACAAATAACCATCGTACCAGGATCAACATCAATATAAACCGTAGAAACAACAGCAGCGTTTACAGTTAGCACGGCTGGCAGTGGAAGTTGCTGGTCGAAGTGGTGAACACGCACATGACGACGACTAAATAACCGCAGCGCACTATCATTGTTCCTGCAAAGCGTACTGGCGTCAATCGAAGTGATCGAAGTGGCTGTACAGAAAGTGGTAAAAACCTTAGCACGCAAAAACAGCAAAAGAATCAATAAAGTGCCGCCTACTATCGGGGTACTATCCTTGCTTTTACCACCACGGCTGCTTTTATCATCGACCCAGCGTGGTAATAAAGAATCGGCCTAAAAGTCGAGAAGTAAGAGCTCGCGGTGTTCGCATCGACGTCCGCGGCGCCATAGTTTGGGGAGGTGCCCCCGGCCTCTTTGGCGGGTCCCCAGGGGGCGAACAGTGGCGCCCCCTGCCGCCAGCTGAGCAAGAACAGCCCCAAGGGGGCTAAGGTGTTTCACTGGTGGCCCTTCCGCCACGGGGGCCACGGGCGCAAGAACAGCGACTTCCTCGCTGATCGCCAGGGGGGACTCAGCTACAGCGGATTTTACAGGCGCCCCTCCGCCCCCATTGCCCCCCTCCTCGGTGTGGGCGGCCTGGGCAGTGCGGGGGGCGCGGCCGGACGTGCTTCTGTAGCGCCTGCGGGGGCGGCTCTTGATGTCGTTCATCTACACAACGAATCGCGAAGACGGAGCTTTGCCTTCACGAAGGTTAATAAGGTGTGTCTGCTAGAGAGGATGAGAATGTTAATAGTGAGCGAATGTAACACCAACACAACATATGTGCGGATGAGAGTTTGCTATCTAACATAAACACCTAGCGTGTTTAACTATACGTGCATTGTAGGCATGTCACGTGAAGCAAACAAAAACTATGAGTTCGCAAGTCTTGAAATCACCCACCTCTCTCCAAGCGAATTCACTTGTGTAGTGTAAAGTAGCGTCCTTACTTAATTTTCATGTATTATGGTAAAGAGAAGGCAGAAAAAAAGACACATCGTCCAGGGCATCTTTTTCCTGTCCTATAGTGCTACTCAAAGCGTTCCGTAGTCAATGACACCACTGTCATAGTTGTATTGCAGCTTCGAATACTATTGGAAAAGCCACGGGTTGTTTGATACGGGTATACCTACCTAGATCTATCCTACGGAAGCATTTCAGTAGTGAGCGAAGCACCTCGGAATGACCCCGAAAGCGATTGTGCAAGACAATTGCCAAGTACATCCTGTTTGGCTAACCATATGTATATTTGGATCTAGACAGTGAATGAAACCTCAAGTGATCTCGCACTGACAATAGCTGAAACAAGCTATAAAAAAAAAGTCACGTATCCCACTTCGTGTCAGCATCAACTAACATCTTAGTATACCTACGAAAAAACCTATGTATAACGATCTGTACGAATCCTCTTGCTACATTCTTATTCCTTCCGTCACGGATCGCAAAAAAGCAACGAAGTAGTATCATTTTCTAATTGGCTTTTGGGAAACCACTGCTCGGTGTTGTGACACGCCCTTAATCCATCTACTCACCTAAGCCATGTTGTCTACTGATAGAGCATTTGCTCTATCAGTAGACATTGAAACATTAGATCGTAATCAATCGCGGTATCAGCAAGCACCCCTTTGATTTCACCTTAAGCGACACTAGAATACATTATGACTAATAAATTCCAGACTGGCTATATAAACAGCGTTGCCTATTTGAGTACATAGTAGGAGTTTTCAATCCAAGCCAATAACTATATAAAGTTAAAGATGCCAATCCTATATTGCGTGACTACCAATAATATTACGACACGTCATCATTCACGGTCAGACGTACGTTTGTCTGTTATAACAACCACTAGATGTCCCTACTCGAGGATGTTGCATCGTTGATATCCGTATCGATCTCGAATGTATATGCAGGTATAGGATCAATTTGTAGTGCGTTATTTAACTTTGTTTGCGATAATGTTATTCAGCCTTTTTGATTTGCCTCGAAGAGGACTTTTTTTCTAAACATAGTACGTGAGTCAATTTAGTTTCTATTGTGTCCACGGCTTGTCGGACATGTCATACGAATGTGCTGGTTACCTCTGGTTGTATAAGTGCTCTCCCTAGTAGCTATTCATATATTGTAGATTGAGACATGTGGCTAGAATGCAGGCAGATAGAGCTGCTCCTGTTATGGGGAAAAGACATCTTTAGAAAAGGAGAGAAGAAAAAAGAAAGGTTCAGAGAAGCCGTGAAAAAAAGGAGCACCACATCTCAGAATGAGCCCGCTAAAACGGAAATGAACTTTCCAGGCCTCAGCAGTATGACTTGCTTTGGAAAAGCCTGCCACTTTCAGGATGGATTAA